TTCAGGAAAAGGGGGGTTAGCTTCCAAGGCAAACTGTTTATCAGGGTTTGAAATGGGCGTAGCCCAAATGTCAGCAGCCAATGATAATGTAAGTGGTGGGCAGCCAATCCGACGGTGGTTGGTTTTCCACCAATTAAAGGGCTGCCAGGTGAAAATTAGCATGTTAAAGAGAGATTAGCATATTCTTTGGGGGGGTCTTTCGGTAAAGCCACGTGGATAGAAAAAATAATCAAGATAATAACAATATCACGACGTTTCAATCGCAACACAAGCAATCGTCTTCAGGTGAAAAAAGAGGGGGAAATCTGCCGAGGCAGGCTGTTTATAAAGGTTTAGAGCTCATGTGAATGTAGGAGAGGTCTCCGTAACCTGCAGTAGGTCTACACCAATCAACGAGCTGTTTACAAATGGTTTAGAGATGGGCGGGGCAGCTAATGTTAATGTAGGAGAGGTCTCCGTAACCTGCAGTAGGTCTACACCAATCAACGAGCTGTTTACAAATGGTTCAGAGATGGGCGGGGCAGCTAATGTTAATGTTGGAGAGGTCTCCGTAACCTGCAGCAGGTCTACACCAATCAAAGAGCTGTTTACAAATGGTTTAGAGATGGGCGGGGCAGCTAATGTTAATGTAGGAGAGGTCTCCGTAACCTGCAGCAGGTCTACACCAATCAAAGAGCTGTTTACAAATGTTAATGGAAGATTGCAGAGCCGCAACCAAGGGGTCGGTGCGCGAAGTGACTGTGAAAGCGCAAGTTTGAAATGGGCGTAAAGCAAAACTAACATCGGAAGGTGTTAGGATGGGAACATCATAGCCAATTATGACTTAAACTGGTTGATAACGTCCTTCCAATGATTGCTCAGTTTGTACCCATCTTCTCAGTTGAAATTGTGTCTGTGTCTATATATATGGATGGCTTCATGAACGAATCTTTGTTGATAGCCAGTGGGCTTGCAAAGTACCTTCGTCTTAGAGAAATCTATTTCGTGTGAGCCCACCGCATTGAAACAATGATCAGCCACGGCCGAGGTATTGGTCCTACCGTGTTTCAGAACTGCCTTATGTTCACGAACACGGTCCGATACATATCGCTTAGTTTCCCCAATGTAACTACTGCTGCAGACACAGCTTAGTTCGTAGACGCCGGGGTATTGCATGTCAGGGATCACATCCGTCACAGATGGGATCAGGTCACAAATTTTATGTACTGTGTTAAATCGAACCTGGATCTTGTATTTGCTCATGATTTGGGAAATATTTTTAGTGACCCCTGCTATGTATGGCAAGGTGATAGTTTTTATTGGGTCCTCAGATGGTTCTTTCCCAACGGTTGAGGTGATATCTTTACGGATTGTGTAGTCTGAATATCCATTCATCTTGAGAGCTTGGTGTACGTGTTCCAGTTTACTGACTAGGTGATGGCAGTCGGAAATACATCGAGCTCTATGGTGTAGAGATTTGAGGAGGGAATTCTAGGATGGATGGTGGTGGGAGTCAGGTTTTAGATAGGCATTCGTATGGGTGGCTTTCCAGAGTGTCCCATTGAGCCATCTGGTCTCTTTTCAATTAAAACATTCAAGAATGGTAACTTGCCATCCTTTTGCACCTCCATGGTGAATTTGATGGCTGGGTGTATGGAATTGATGTGGTTGAGGAATTGGTTCAGAGCTGGTCGGCCATGTGGCCAGATGACGAACGCGTCATATACGTACCTCTTCCACAAGGGCGGACATAGAGTGGATGCCTGGATGGCATCTGTCTCAAAATTTTCCATGAAAACATTGGCTACAACTAGAGATGAGGGAGAACCCATTGGGGTACCTTCAACTTGTTTGTAGAATGTTCCAATCCAGGTGAAGTAAGTGTTGGTGAGGCAGTGTCTAACCAGGGCAGGTACATCAGCATTCAGTCCTTGTTGGACCACATCTTCAATGATTGCAATGGTGTCAAGCACAGGAACTTTGGTAAACAAAGAGATCACGTCGAAACTAACGAGCAAATCAACTGGAGATATTCTTAATTAACGATATCAAGTGAGCTGAGTTGAGTACAGCTGAGGTGGTCTTACCAGTGAATGGTTGTAAGGTCTCAGACAGAAATCGGGCCAGTTTGTAGGTGGGTGAGCCACTGGTGGAGACAATAGGGCGAAGGGGTGTCCCTTCTTTACGGATTTTTGGTAAGCCATACAATCTGGGTGGTCTAGCAGCAGAGGGTTTTAAGGAAAACCGCTTGGTTGGTTCGATCAAAGATGTCGAATCAGTGATGATATTATTGGTTTTCGTAACGGGGCGGTTGGTGGGATCTCTTTTAATTTTGGTATAGCTACCATCATTAAGTAGGTCCTGAATTTTGTTATTGTATGTGGTTTTGTCCATGATAACGGTGGCATTGCCCTTGCCGGCTGAGAGGATGACAATGTCATCTCTCTCTTTTAATTGAGAAAGCTCAAAGCGATAATCTTTACTGGTGTTGCTGATAGGTATCTTAGCGTGTTTGAGGATTGCAGCGATTTCCAATCTTGCCACGTCTGCAGTAATGGGTCCCAAACCCTTAATGGCTACGTCGACCTGGACAATGATATCATCAACTGGGATGTGTTTAGGGGTGACTGCGAAATTCAACCCTTTGGCTAGAACCGATTTTAGGCTGTCTGAAATTGTATTGTTACTCTGATTGATAATAATCTTGTCAACGTCTAACTTTTTGATGTGTGGATCTGGCCTCTTCTTGGAAAGGAGAATATAACTTGGAAATCAGGTTATCTTTGCATTTAGCTAACATTGAGGCAGCTGAAGAGGATGTCATGTTATCTACATGTTCCCAATCAGATGTAGACATTTTTTCCATCAATGTCAAGTGTGATTTCAGGAGAGCCTTGCCTGAATTGTCTAGTTCAAATCGGAGCAATCTTATTGTCTCTGAGATCAGGGCTAGGCCAGCCCTGAACAAGATCCGTTGTGCATTGGGAGAAGTGACAGCAGCAGACGATCGGTATTACCTTAGTGTCGTGGCATCTCTTCAGGAATGTGAGCGACTCAATCAGATGAGCCTTCTTGTCTCGAAGTTTATTAAAAGATCTAATAGTTGTGTGGAAACCCTCCCCATAGAGGCGGTTATATCTTGACTTAAAGCTTTCGTGACTGCCCACCACTGACATTATCATTGGCTGCTGATGTTTGGGCTACACCCATTTCAAACCCCTTACAAACAGCTTGCCTTGGAAGCTAACCCCCCTTTTCCTGAAGACGACCGCTTGTGTTGCGATCGAAACGTCAGAGTTTTTTTGTTATTTTTAGTTTTTTCTTTGAACCTATCTACTTGACTTTACCGAAAGACCCAAGCATATGAATTCCTGCAGTCACGAAAGCTTTAAGTCAAGATTTTGCTCAAGGCACTTTGACAACTCATTTTTAAATGCTCTGTGTTAATACGAATCAAACTAACATCAGCTCCAGTGAACAGGACTAAGCGACTGTGACGCCCTCCGGTCTCAGAGACTCGAACCATTATCCGGGCAGCGACAAAAGCAGCCAAACATCGCACGGCAGGTGAGTCACCTATGACACCAGTATAAGATGATAATCACCACCCCACCCACTCGCCTCCCGCATTGCCACTGTGGCTATCAAACCAAGTGAGCGCATCATCCGACAGTGCACACTTGAACCAGGACCTTTGTGAAACTAAACTAAACCATTTTTACCTGGTAAGGCCCCACTGAGCTATATAGCTCTTTTCAGAAGTGACCTGGCCACAGAAATGATAGCCCAACGACGTGGATTATGACGTGGAATGTATACCAGCCAAATACTAGAAATGCATGTTAATTCTAAATGTGGAGAGGAAAATCCAGAGGACCCGGAGAAAAATCCTCGTGACCACCAAATATGCAGGCGTCAGGGTCGGGATCGAACCCACCAGCTCCTATATACTAGACGAGGTAGTTAGCATCGCACAACCGTGGCTTCGCTCATCCGTAGGCATCATCTCAGACAATAACGGAATTCTCATGTGGCTCTCATGTGGCTCACCAACCCTGGCTCGCCAGGAGTGGCAGGCAGGCGGCACAGAAAACGTGGACCTCACTTGCCACTGTTGCTAGCCATGGGTAGGAATCAAACTCTGGCGACTGGGTGCATAGTGTGAAAACCACAATGGCCAGGTAGGGAAAGATGCAAGCTGGTAATTACTTGCTCGCTCCATTGCTGGTCTAAGGGCCTCAAATATCAGAATCCGATGAGCTATAAAGCTCTTTCTAACAGATGTCCAGAGCTCTATGAAGCCCCTCGCAAGGGGTTCTTGGCCTGCCATTTCATGGCGGCCTGATGTTAAAGAGGTCGGAGTATTACTCTTGGTTCTTTCGGTAAAGTCACGTAGAAATAAAATCAATGATAGAATACGACGTTTCGATTGCAACACAAGCAACCGTCATCAGATGTGAATGCAAGCTCGGAGAGAGACATATACAGAGAGAGAGACAAACACAGACATGGAAAGAGACACATACACAGAGAGATGCACAGAGAGAGAGACACACATAGAAGAGAGACACATAAAGAGACACACACGCAGAGAGACACCCACAGAGACACAGAGAAACAACGCCTTTGTGACGAGGTATTATATAGAGAGAGCGAGGGGGGGGGGGGGGGGGTTGGGGCAGAGAAATTAGCAAGTCAATGAGAGCAGCAGGGGGAGAGAAATTGGAAGTTTGAGAAAACAAACCTAGTAAACTTAGAAATGTAATGCAATGCAACACAGAGAGTCGGCTAACACAACAAGTTAACACTTTACCTGGTTGATTACGTTCTTCCAAAGATTGCTAAATTTGAAGTTAAGTATGAGTTGTGTGGATATTTTCCCCCGTAGAGGTGGTTCCAACTTGATTTGAAGCTTTCGTGACTGCAGGGATTACTCGGAGTATGTTCCATGGTTTTAAGAAGAAGATCTCTGTGTGTGTGCTCCACCGCACGGAGCCCGGCGCAAATTTCACGGCACCCACCACGGTGACGGCGTCGTTGAGCAGCGACTCCCCGAAGACGATGATGAAGAGCACCTCGTTGACGTGCACCTCCTCGAACACGGCGATCACCGCCACGGGGTCCACGGCCGCGATGAGGCTGCCGAAGAGCAGGTAGTCGAGCAGGCTCGCTCGCAGGGGGCCTGCGGCGTCGCAGCAGCACATGGCGCCCGCGTCACACACGCGTCACACACGCGTCATACACGCGTCACACACGCGCCACACACGCGTCATACACGCGTCACACACGCGCCACACACCCGTCACACACGCGTCACACACGCGTCACACACGCGTCACACACGCGTCACACACCCGTCACACACGCGTCACACACGCGCCACACACACGCGTCACACACGCGTCACACACCCGTCACACACGCGTCACACACGCGTCACACACGCGCCACACACCCGTCACACACGCGTCACACACGCGCCACACACGCGCCCGCCCGCCCGCCTGTCAAGTCGATTTTAATTTTGTTTACGGCGAAGTTTTCGCTTAACGCTTTAGCATATATGTACGTTGAACTTGCTTCGCACCGTACCTAGCCAACCGTGCTCATTGGAGGTGCGGAGGGGGCGAACACACTAAACACAAAAAGCAGTTCTAAAGAAATTAATTTTCAATCTAGGTTTAAAAGTGGCTTCCTAATGTCGGAAGGAAGAGCGTTCCAGATGGCCACAGAAGCGCATCTGAAAGCGCGCGATGCGATGAACGCCTTTGTTCGATGGCCAGCCAAAAAGTAGCTGCGAGGATGACCAGAGTTCACATCGAATACCCTGCATAGCGTGGGGGGGCCCTCATCCAGCAGTTCGTTGACCTACAGGGTGTACGCATACGTGTACAGATCCACGTGAAAAACAGCTGTCAGTAAGCAGATCGTCTAGCAGTAGAATGAGAATGGTAGCTGATGAGGATAAGGATTCAGTAGCATTTCAGCTTCACCAGACGCAGGAAAATGTCTACACCAATGCTCAAACTTAAACTATGTCTTATGAACAATAACATTTTGCGTACAAATGTGTGATATGTTAGGAAACGCGTCTTGAATCACTCATCTCAGCCTCCAACTGGGCGAGTCCGACCTCATATCTCCCGGCGTTCGCACATCGTTCTGTAGCACATCTTCACGACGCGCTGTCCTCCGCCCGCACCTCCGATGAGCAAAGTTGGCTCCGTACGGTTCGAAAGAAGTTCGAAATACACACGTACAACTCCGCAAGCTCTCACCCAAGATGCCCTCTGTCAATTCTGGCCCCAGACCCTGGCCGGGCCCTATGCAAAGTTCTGCGCAATGGCACAGGTTGTCGTAATTTTGAAGAGCTGATGTTGAACGTTAAAGTAACGTTACCAATGTGGCTAACGGGGGGGGGGGGGGGGGGGTGGGGGGGGGAAACGTCTTCATCAGTGTGCACCACCTGCCATAACAAATGCATCAGAAACGCGGTCATTTCGCGGGAAATGTAGAACAAACGCTCAAGAGTGCACCAAAACGCGTGGAGATGTGCACGCTTGGCATTACATGGAGAGACACGAGAGAGTAGAACACATGGACCAGAGAACATACGCGGGTCAATTACGTATTTCAATCAATTAAGACAAGTTGAGTGGACTTGGGCGAGACATTTAACTCGAAGGGTCGATGTCCGATGGGTCAAGGAGGAAGAAAAAAACATTTGCAGTGGCTGCCGCGAAACGGAGCGCATCTGGGAGCACGGCCGCCAAGCGGGTGCAGAGACGGAGCCAGCTCAAGGCGCGCACGCTCTGCGTGGATTGTTGCATCGCAGGATCGCGAGAGGGGCTGCCTTTGAGTTCACCTCTCCCTGGTGAACCGTGCCAGAGGACTCCGATTCCAGAATAAAAACACGGTGCCCTCCGATGGCACATTCCACCCCCCCCCCCCACCACCACCACCCCCAACATTGATCTTGAATTCTCATCAATTTCCGCAACTGTTGCGGATTTAAATAGCGAGCCGAACATCGATTCCACCCAAAATATTCTCGAGTTACACCAGTGGTGTTGTGAGCTGGCTTCCGAACTGTGTGCAACATTGATTAACGACCTTTGCAGTGATCTGTGAGCGCTACAAAATGTTTGTTCATATCTCTGAAGACACCGTCATCTTCCTATAAGCACGGAATACTACGTATAAGAACTGAAAAATGCGAACTTTAATAAGTGCAGTATAAGGCACGTACATACGTAGACAACACGGTTTTACACACAAAGAATTACTATGGTTAACTAGGCGCCACGGTGGCGAGATGTTAACTAGCTCACCTGGTACACAGGCGGTCGTGTGTTCGATCCCGACCCTGACGCCTGCTGTATATTTGGAGTTTGCATGTTCTGCCCGCGGTTTTGTGGATTTTTCACCACCTCCGGGTTTTCTCTCCATATTCAGAAACATGCAATTCGAGTATTTGGTTGCGATAAATTCCCACGTGATGAGCCACTTCGTTGCGCTGTCATTTATGGCCAAGTCGATTCTGAAAAATGTGCTATGTAGCTCATCCGACCTTACCTGGTAAAGAAAATATACTAAATAGTAAAAACAGTTACTGACGGCGCTTCGGAGACAAGAATCGGCGAGTCCATATCGAGTTCCATCAGAAGAGGGCAGCATCTTCACGGAGCACCAGAAACAACGGGCCACAAGGGGGCCCAAGGGAGAGGAATCTGGGGGCACATGATCCCAATGGGCCTCTGTGTCGGAGCGGTGTCAGAGCGGGAGCAGATGGGAGAAGGCAGAGAGGAGGGCATTTGGGAGCAGCGGTTAATTGGTTGTTGTTGTTGTTGTTTTTTTTGCAGAGCTTGCCGTATCGACCGAGATTCCACAAAAGACTCAGGGGTGGGGGTGGTTAAAATTCGGCAATCACGCCTTGTGCGTACACACCTGCGTTCCCTGCATTCGGAATTGACGGGAAAATGCATTTTGTCCCACATCTGGAGACCCCCCCCCACGCCCTCCGCATTTGCAGAGGTGAAGCGGTGAAGGAAGCCCATTACAATAATTAACACTGTAATACTCAGCTAATTGAAAGCTATAGAAATCGAATTTGTTCTTTACGTTAAGTTTTTTTCAGAAGTTAATATAGTGTTAATTGAAATGGACACAGTGGGTTCATGTTATATTAATTTTATTGCGAATGGTCAACATCGCTGTAGAATTGTCGGAGCTAATTATCGTTATGTATAACCAATTAGAAAAACCTTTTGATTTGTTGAATTTCATTTTTGGATCGCATACTATCAGCAGCCATGGTTTATCTACTGGTGGATGAAGGCCATCGCCATCCCAAGTGGGTGAGGCCAGGTTCCATTTCAACACGTGGACTGATCTCATCACTTTGTGTCTGTGGTGGCCGTCCACATCGCTCGTCTTACGCCACCGGCAGTGCCGGATTATCTTAGTAGCAGATGAAGAACGTAATCAAGGTCGTCATAGCGGTTGGAGCTGGTCACAGCAAAGCAACATTATTACGGGAGCACTCCACTGTCCGGCAGTGCCGGTGTGTCCGAGCAGCACAAGTAGCTACACATGTTGTAGCTACGGGCCCCGCACTTTCAAGGGGCCCCGCGTTAAATGCTTCCAAAGCTATCAATTCCTGGTTCAGTGATTCTGCACTTGCTCTATTACTATAGCACTATACTGCCTTCAACTTTTATGAACGACTGGGTGTTTAAGGTTAGCGATTTGTCGTATTATCTGGCTGTATAGCAAATGAAAAAACACAATTACTTTACTATGCAAGTAAAAAAATTGTGTTTTAATATTTGTGTTTTATTTTTTTTATTTAGGGCCCCTTTATAACATCATGCTACAGGCCCCGCACGAGCTTAATCCGGTAGTGGCCACCCGCCACCGGCTGTCATCCTTCTCAGCATTCCCTCTGTCCAGCCGTTCGCGGGCCTTAATGGTTCATGCGATGTCACTAACTGGCGTTTGTTCCCCGATCCACGGGAATCCTCTTTCCTTTATTCATGTCTGCAGGGTTGAGCACTATTCAGCTTTCGCTCCATTTTATTTCGCGAATGTCCATGTGTTTTATCCATACGACATGCACTGATGGCCAACGTTATTCTTCATGCACATTGGTAAGTTGCTTTTAACGATCAAATTCAGGTTTGCAAACACTCTCCATCCCACTAAAGTTTCCCCCTTTCTAATCATAATTTTGAACACTATCTGCCTTTATTAACTGCACAAAGTATACACGCTGCTGTGTTTTGCAATTGTCCCTCCCAACAGATATCTTAAATGAAACTTGCACAAGATTGTATGTATGTATACAAGCTAATCACTCAGCTATTTCAATGCTAAATTCTATGCTAATTCCTTTGTCAAGGGGTACCTCTGCGGATGTGTATACTTTAACTTAGCTATTTCAATGAGCCATTTCAATGCTAAATTATATACTAATTCCTTTGTCAAGGCGCGTGGTCTTTTTCTTCTCAAACAGCTTAAAGGTCGTGATCTGAGCGTGGCTTCTTCCACTCCAGCGCTGTCCTCCAGACAGTCTCGTCCCTTCACCTGATGAAGGCCGCTTGTGTTCTGGCCGAATCGTCGTGATTTTTTGTTATTTTATTTTCACCTACGTGACTTTACCCAATAGAACCAAAGAGTATGGATCCTAGCAGTCACGAAAGCTTTAAATCTAGAAAAGATTGTATGTGACTTGTTTGTTTTTATTTCTCTTTTGCCACATTTTGTAGCCCTCCTTGTTAAATGCTTCAATCATTCTATGCACTGTGGTTCATTTACATTGTTAGTTGTAAAGGCGATGTTGTCTGCGATGGTCCATAACCATTTGAAACACATTTATTCACGTTAATTGAATTCCAGAGTCTACCCACAACAGACGTGCCTCTTCTCATTTTCTCTGTGTCGTAGAAAGAGTGTATGTGGCAATAAGTGTGAAGGCAAATGTTTTCTTTACAAGGCTGAAGTAGAATTCCTCAGTGACCAAGCTGGAATGCTGCATTAGCATCGGCTGTATCGTCTGCGACAGACGCTTTTATCGCATGTCAATGCAATTCTTATTTGAGCCTTTGTCATGATTCCCATGGGGATCACGTGTGCTGAAATCCCCACACAATTAGTCCGCTTGACTGTAGCCGTATACGACGTACAATAGACCACCACCCCAAGGCATCATTTTTCTCGAGCAGACAGTTATATGCCACCACTAACATTTGCTATTATAGTCACCTGCCTTGAGCCTTATTCCCTAATGAGTGCAAGAAAGAGCCTTGTAAACAACATCTGAACAGCGTAATGGCGCGATCGTGTGTACAATTAATGTAACTAACGGAGTTTCGCTCATCCAGCGATACACACGAGTTTCGCACCGTGCATTGTGCCACCTCAAAAAAATGTAACCTGTAATAATAAATATGCGTTGAATTTCCCCAAATATAGGAATGTTCAGTTAGTGTACTGAGATGTGTGGACTCGAGAAACATTCCTTTTAAAGTTGTGATAGAGATACAATGATCAGTCAGTGCTATATTTAAACCGTATGTACAGGAAAAATCCCACATGGTTTAGCCACCCACACAGTAAATGTGGTACGTCTATTCAATTTTCTTGAAAACCAGCGTCCTTATTTGTTTAACATGTAGGCTTTCGCGACCAATATTCATAATAAAGGTTTTTGGATTATATCGCGTAAGTATAATGTACTTATTTGTGTGTTTTTTTTTAAACACTGCAGAACATCCCAGACACCACGACATTGCTCCCTGTGTTTGTCAGCTATTCATGAATGTGATATGCAGCACGACTCACAACCCTCCTCTATATCTATACCAAAAAAAGACCGTGATGTATACCGTGGTATATCCCCCTCCATCTGGAACTCCATCCCACTGCATATTCGCAGCACCATTAAATCTACACCGACGTTTAAGAGACGATTAAAGGCCCCACCGCCCTCTCTCCCCCTCCCTCGCCTGGCTTTCGAGCGAAACTGAGCTTGGCTTCACGCCAAACAGAGTCAAAAGTGATTTGCGTCGTATAAATATTGCGCGCGCTATACATTGCATTACCATTATTAATGTGCAAAGCTACAGTACCCGTGCCCATATAGAAATCACAGTTAAAATGTGTTGTTCATCTGTGGTGGGCCTCTGACAATGTTTCACTACACGCTCCGAAGAGGACACAACGGAGTGACTCACTTCCATTTTAAATTCCTAGCACCCAGGTGGCCATCACTGTTAACGGAATCCCGTGCTGTATTACGGCAGTGACGTTCGACATGGTTCACGCTGCTGATGGAAGTCAAGCAGGCGTGTCATAGAACAGCAAATAGAGTACCACGTGATTAAAAAAAAACATAATGCAATGTCTTCGTATCTGTATTATGCTAAACGAAGGTAAAGTTGCTGGCCTGCAATTTCTTGCTCACGCTACTGCTGGCAGAAGGGCCTTCCACTGGAGGGAGCTAAAGACAGACAGATGTGCATGGAAGAGGTGGACGTTGCCCACATTTTACCAATACCACACGCAACTTGCCGTTCGACTGACTTACAGATAATTCCCTGTCCATTATTACATTATAACTTTAGAGGAAAAAATAATGACTTTGCACAATTTTACTTAATCGTAGAATTTCGATTTAAAGCTTTCGTGACTGCAGGGATTCATATTCTTGGTTCTTTCGGTGTGGTTTTCACACCTGATGATGATTACTTGTGTTGCAGTCGAAACGTCGTGATACTTGCATTGTTATATATTTTTATTATTTTATTGTTTCCCTTCTACGTGACTTTACCGAAAGAACCAAGAATATTAATCGTAGAATCTTGGATTCGTGACGAATCCAATTGTTGTTGCTTTCAAACGGCAGTGCCTGGCTGTGAGTTGACCCTCCGGTGACCCTGCCAAAGGACTCTGATTCCAAAATAAAAACGCGGTGCCCTTTGATGGCCCTGAACATTGATCTTAAATGTCTCATCAATCTCCGCAACTGGGTTGACCACTCTTTTATGCATGAAATCGTGAACTGGACAGAGGCCATCAGAGCTTGGCGCACATGTGAATCTGTCAAGATCTCACAGCAATGTATTTTTTTTCTGCCAGTTTTGCCCCAAGGATATCTGTGTTCTGACACAAATATTATCCCCCTAAGCCACCACTGCATGTTGCCTTTGTCACCTAAGTTTTACAATGATAAATCCGTATGCACCTCATAATTAATATTGGTGCAACACTCGTAAATATCATCCTCATTGGGCACACCTACATGCCCAGCCCTATTAGTCAACCCACTGATGGACGAGGGCCTCCCCGTGCCACGCAGGCCATGGTGATTGTTTGGGTCACTATGAGTTGGTTAAGGTGGAGCATAGATGTGCGAGCATATAAGTACAATACAGCAATGTATTTTGCTACACTCCCCTCCGCTGCCGACAAAGTAGCCCCACATCAGCCTATAATACCGTGTTTGCAGGTCGGCCACCCATCCAAGAACTATCCAGGCTTACTCCTGTTCAGCTTGCGAGGTCAGATGCAATTAGGTGCATTCCAAGTGATTCGGTGCTTGTTTTTCGCAAGCTCTATGAAAGCAAGCATAAAAGATTCAGACGCTATGTTAATTATCCCATCATGATAATTAAGTGTTAAACTGTCCTATACGAGGATTCTTCGCATCACTTGCACTTGTTAGGTATTGTCATTCGTTCATTATTTTAAGGATGCATATGAATGGTGGGGCAGACCCAACTATGAATGCGGCTACCCAAGTACAATTCTCAGCCGTGGCTAACCTTGGTTGCGAGTGATATCAGAATCAAGTCCTGGGCCACCGCTTCGCCATGCAGCCCTACAAGTAGCCGTTCATAAATGTTTGTTTGTACAGCCGAGTACCACATCTAATTGCCCTGTAAATGAGTGTCTACCGTAAGTGATGGCTCCTTCTTCGCGTGGCCCACCAACCCACCTACAAGTATCTGTCGGATACTGACATTTTTAATGCTGAAAAATTGCACTGAGGAGCACTCACATGTTTGATATTATGCACTGCACTGAATCTGGCTAATTGAGTGATATCAAAACAGAGCATACACTGGCCACCGTGAAGACGTATGGTTGAACAGCTCCCACGAATGACACAGCAATGGGAAAGACTATTTATTAATTTGATTTATATAAGTATTTTTTTTCCCGTGGGCTCCGGTTTCCTCCCACATGTAAACATGAATTGGCCAATAGCACCTTAATTTATAGAGGACTATGGCATAATTCTTTCCATGTTTGATTATTTTTTAAGTTAAATTTACGACATTTCATTAACTCGTTTAATATATCCTCAATTATAACCAACATGTTAAATAATTTTTAAGAATAAAAAATATTACAATTAGTTGCACACATTATAATAACTGATAAATCACAGGATTGATTACTGAAATATAAAGTAATGTATATTTAATGATCGAGGTCACATTAAATCAACAGATATTAAACATCTTAGATTATCAAACATATACAAATGTGCTGCATGTATATGTTGCTGATTATAAAAACATATATGTTGTCAATTTGTGCCCACTCTATAGACAAAATGTAAAATACACTGCTAATGTCACCTCTGTTAAATTCTGCTTGGACAGCGAGTGCTATGAATTTTTGTGCTCTTGGCAGCCACAAAGCCACTTTCTCTCCACAGCTCAGGATGTAATCTTCGTAGGGGCACGGTGTGTGTGGGTATGGGAAACAAAATTCCTTCAAAGAAGACGCATTCGGCCGTGTTAATGCTTAAAGAACATTCGTTTTTCTTCTTTGGTTCTTTCGGTAAAGTCACGTAGAATGAGAATAAAATAATAAATTGATAAAATAAAATAACACAATAATATTCTCACGACGTTTCGGCCACAACACAAGCGGCCTTCATCAGGTGAAGGGGCTGTCCTCCAGACAGTCTCGTCCCTTCACCTGATGAAGGCCGCTTGTGTTGTGGCCGAAACGTCGTGAGAATATTATTGTGTTATTTTATTTTATCAATTCATTATTTTATTCTCATTCTACGTGACTTTACCGAAAGAACCAAAGAAGATGAATCCTTGCAGTCACGAAAGCTTTAAATCGAAACATTCGTTTTGCCAAAGAAATTAAATACGATGACAGTTTCTTGCTTGGGATTGCTAAATTATGTAATTCTGGCTGATGGTAGTCATGTAGGCCCACGTCTACAGCCTGTGTGCCTGAAATTTTACCCGGGATTGGAGTGGCCTGCTCGGCTGACTGCAGTCTCTTACCCGCCCCACCCCACATTCACTATCCATGGACATAGCAATATACGTAATTCTTGATAATGATGTTGTCGAAAATGAAAAAAGTAATTAAATATGTTGTCAATAATTGACGATATATTAAATACATTGTTGATAAAATCGAACATGTATAAAGAATACAGCATTGCAACAATACATCATGCAACAGAGGATCGCAGAGCTTGGGCAAATGTTGGCACGGGAGCATCGCGCGGCTGCTGCCGTTCCCGCTCGTCTGTGCTTCCTGCTCGCGCCTCTGAGCCATTCTCTCCACACGAGAGTGAACAAATACTGTGTTGGCACATTACTATTTGAAATGTATTATTAATTCACAAAGGGCTGTGTGTCTGCTGAACTTCTGTCGCACGGTGCTTAGCCAACCGTGCTATTCAGAGGCGCGGGGTCAAGGACAATAAACTAAACACAAAAAAAAACCTCTATCATGGACAAAAATCCGTTCTAAAGAAATTTGTTTTCAGTCGAGATTTGAAAGTGCATAGCTCCAGTGGCTTCCTAATATCGGATGGAAGATCGTTCCAGAAGAGCGTCTGAAAGCGCGATGCGGTGGCCAGAAAAAAGCCGCTGCCGCGAGGACGACCGGAGGAGTTCGCGTGAAGGTTTTAACAAACATTATATTCCACGCTGCGAATTGCCCAGCGGGCGCGTACGTGCGTGCGTGCGTGCAGGACTCTCCGTCGTCTCACCCAGAGCCCCCGCGAGGTGGGCGCCGTACAGCGAGAGCCCCGTGGCGGCCGCGTTCCACAGGGTGCCCACCACGGCGTACACGAGAATGGTGCCCAGGTTGTCAAACAGCAACCGGTTGGGCATGGTGTAGCTGGCGTCGAGCACGATGGGCGGCAGCAGGTAGAAGAAGAAGGCGGTGGGCGTGAGCGTGAACTCGGCGTAGCGGCTGGAGCCCAACACCACGCCGCCCAGGACAATGCCCAGCACGATGAGCAGGCAGCTCTCCGGTACCACTGAGGTCACTCTGCTGGACAGGTGGAAGGCTGGCGACGACAGGAAAGAAGGTCATTCGCGCAGGGCAGTCGAGGGACCGAAACGGGAGGACTTCTCCACAACTCTGGCGGTCCCCTGATGAGGCTGATTGGTGCACTCACCGGCGAAACGTCACGAATTGCAAACGTTATGGGGTTTACTCTCCAACGCACCGGTTGTGCTCCACTACTAACATGTCTTGTTTACGTTACAAACCCAACTAATTGGCTGTGCTGGGTGGTGGCGGGTTTAACAACACATTTATATTTACACCAAGGCCGTAGCCATGGAGTCTACATTGGGGGGGACCAAATCTTCCAGGGGGTCTGGGGTCCCCCCCCCAGAAAAAAATATAAATTTTAAAACTAATTTCCTGCCTAAAATATTACAAAATTCCCTAACACATGGGATGGACTTTTTATGTATTTTTTTACAATAATGTCTAAGAGTGTATTGTATTACATTGCTCTGTATTTTCTTTTTTACCTTTTCTTGTTTCATTGTATGTAATGGCAGAGATTAGGGATTCATAAAGTACAACCACAATCATGTAAACAGAAATCTATGCATTGTTATATGAAGACAAGTTCAGCTATTGTGGCCAAGGTTTAACAAATTTTGTTTTTTATTTAAATAGCATCGCAATGATTATTTTTTGTAAATATTTTTTATAGCAATATATTGGGGGGGGGGGCATTTTGAGCATATTTGAATATTGGGGGGGGATGAGTTTTTTTGGGTTAGATCGCGTAAATCAAGGCCGTAATTATAATATATTTTGGAGGGGGGACACATCTCCCCCCAAAATATATTAAATCAAGGCCGCAATTATAATATATTTTGGGTGGGGGATGTGTCTAACCCAAAAAAAACTCAATTACGGTTAATATTTGTCGCGAAAGCCTACTAAATCGTCGAGAGGGTTGCAGCTGGCTACTTTCCTATGGTGCAGACTCGTTGCCAATGCAGCATGATTGTTGGGTTTTTGTTTGTTCTTAAACTGCAGTTGTTGAGCCCAGGATACAAAAAAAAAAGGATCCAAACTCCAAGCGGCCAGCGAACAAACAGCGCTGCTTAAGTTGTAACAGATGAGAATGAACGCGCATTTCGAACTTAGCGAGGTTATACAGACGTGGAACAAGAGGTGGGAGGAATTTAGACTTAAAACTTTCGTGACTGCGGGAATTCACGCACGTGACTTTACCGAAAGAGCCAAGAATAGGTGGGAGGAAATGGCGAAGATGAAGTGTGAGGAACTAAGCGGAGGGCGAGATACATGTTTTGATCTGCATTGGGGCATTCAACATAGTGTGGCTAAGAGGAAGCGGTCAGTCTGGTCGACAGAGTCCTAACCATGGGTGGAGGAATCAATGACGGAAGTGCATTGGAAGAGTAACCGTGGTGGTAATGGTATAAGAGTGATAAGGACACAACTCACTGCCGATGAGCGAGTGACCGATGTGAATCGGTGAGTGCTGGATCAACCATCCTTTCAAGTACACTGAGGGAGGAACTGGGTGCTTCACCCAAGATATGACAACTTTATCGATTATAGTAACCCAATACGTATATGTACTTTTCTAGCATATCCCACGACCCTGAAGCTTTCATTATGGAGTGAACCCCCTCCTATCCACGATTACATGGGAAAGGAGCTTTCGGCTGATCCTATGATCCATGCCTATATGTGGAAATAACTCCTGTTCGGAAATTAAATCAAAGAAAAATGCGAATATTATATTCATACTTGCCATGAACATGTGGATAATATTTGTTTTAATGCAATGCTTCCTGGAGACCCTTAGTGGGTACGCCCACAGATAAACACAGATAATATATATTCTTAGCTCCTCTTCTTTGGTTCTTTCGGTAAAGTCACGTAGAATGAGAATAAAATAATAAATTGATCAAATAAAATAACACAATAATATTCTCACGACGTTTCGATGAATCAGAAGATGAATCATTGCAGTCACGAAAGCTTTAAATCGAAATATATTCTTAGCTCTTTCGGTAAAGTCACGTTGAAGAGAAACAATAAAATAATAAAATATATATAAAACAATTTTTTGTTTTCTATTAATTTTTTATGGTTTTATATATATTTTATTGTTTCTCTTCAACGTGACTTTACCGAAAGAGCTAAGAATATGAATTACTGCTGTCACGAAAGCTTTAAATCAACAGATAATATAATAGGATGGATTTGCATCTTCCTGCCTGTTAGTCACAACAATTCAAGAGCAGAATAAACCATCATCATTACAAAACGTAAATATGAATGTATAAGCATCGTCCTTAAAAATATATAAACTGTATACTAATTATCTTGGCCTCGTTGCTCAGGGGATCAGAGGACTGAGCCGGCACTGCTGAGATCCTAGTTTGAAACTACGCTTTCAGCCACCCGTGATCAAACCTCAAGTCTAGCGAGTTGGCGGCCTCAGCCTGGTCACCAATCACTGCAACAAGAAATAACGTTAAGTTTGGTTTTCTTTAAACGCATCATTTGTTCAAATTCCAGCTGGAACAATGAAAATATCAGTTTGAATGTGATGTGCCAAACAGCAGCCTGACAGCAGAATGTGTGAAAGTGTGCTCCCTCGTGTCATGATAAAAACACAACTTGAAGTGTTGGTGAGATGTTAACTACCTCGCCTGCTATGCAGGGGGTCGTGGGTTCAGTCACGACCCTTTGCATGTTCTCATCGTGTTTGCGTGCATTTTTTTTCCGCGTCCTCCGGTTTTCCCCTCAACATTTAGAATCGACATACGTTTATAGTATTTGGCTCCTGTACATTTCCACATGATAAGCCACTTCGTTGAGCTATCATTTGTGGCCAGGTCGCTTCTGAAAACGAGCTCTATGGCTCAGTGGGCCTTACATGGTAAAATTTAAATAGTTATTTTTGGAAACGAGTTTTGCAAGAATATAATTTGTGCAGTCATTCACGAACGCACAAGTAAGTTTCAGACAAATCAGACTCAATTTACTGCAATTCAGCCCATCCAAAGGGTGCGATTCACCCAGGTACTGCACACGCTAACCAGGGAAAATATTGATTAAATGTTTGCAGTTACTGCATGTCATTATCACCTTCAGCAACACAATGCAACTTCTACACAATGAGAGGCCAACAATTGAAAACAAGCTTGAGGCATTTCATTTCAGATTTCTTCCCCAAGAGCTTTAGAAACCTAATTTGTTCTGATCAATGTTTCCAAGGTTTTCATTTTCATGTGATGCTATAATGCACCTTGCTTTCTTTTTTTGCAACTGGATTGCTGATTGAATCTCACCTCAATGACCTTCCAATCCAGTGTTTCCCATCATTGTAGATTATGTTCAACAGTAGTGTTAGTTTAGGATTTGCACTGTAAGCTCTTACATATGAAGCCCAAAATAATGCTATTCATACAGTCATTATCAGGTGTATTTTTCTTCTCTCTTTCAAATGTCCACATGTAATGTGGAATAAGACTGTACACGCATCGCCACTCTTTGTTTACAATGTGATTTAACGCGATCCATTTCATCAATTACAGGATAGGTTTTCAATAAGGGAAGTAATTTTGAATAGAAATGCATTCAACCCCATGCAGTGTCTGAACCAGAGAACAGTTAATGGATTTTGAGATTAATGTTGTCCGTTTAATTTTTTTTAAAGATTATTGTTAGTCAGTGATGATCAGCCTTTACATTGTCCTGACTTTACCTCCACTACCAAGTCAATGTGATCAGATAATTACAGTGAAGTATGTTGTTAAACGTGTGGAGACTTTCTCACACATACATATGTACATATGTAGAGGAGCATTGTGAGTAACCAATGAGGGGGCGAACAGAAGGGGGTGCGAGCCGTTTGACAATCAAGGATGACGTAACGGGACGGGTTGTGTAAGGGGCTTCAGAGAGCACCTTCGGGAACAAAGGCGGGGCCGAGAAAGGGGGAGGAGCCGCCAAGGGGTTCTTAAGGGGGACCCCGTGACGAAGGCGTGGTCGTTGTGGGGAGCCAGGGCAAAGATCGGCTGCAGAGGGTCTCTCTCTCCTGGTCGCGGGGACGGTGTTAGCTGAACCCCCGCTTTGGGCTTACGAGTGAGAGAGCCAAGGGGATAGCCGAGAGTAGGGTCCCGTAGTACTCAGTAAAGGGTCGGCTGGAAGAGAGAGCCCAAAGGGTAGCCGAGAGTAGGACCCAAATAGTATTCAGTGTCCGGGGTAAAGGACCGAGATAAAGTGTATCTACACTGGTGTGAGTGTAGGATGTCGAGTGTGACAGTGTTTTATTAAACGGCAACAGCCCTTATAGTGTTCCGCGTGGTTCTACTGCACAACACATATGTTCGATGGCTTTCACAACTCTCAAAATAGCCTAGCAGTATTTCCTAATTTCAATACCATAACATGCTACATATGTGCTGCATGACACACGTGGTCATGGGTCTGTTATTTTCGGAAACCTTTTTTTTCCTTCTCAGCATTATTCCAGTTGTGTTGATGACGTGATGACGAGAGACAACATTGTCCATTCGGAACAGTCCTCAGGCAGTAAATCACCTTGTGTCAGAGAACGGCCTGTGCAAGGTTACATCTAGACACGTCGCAATTAGTGAACTACAATTGATTTATTCACCGAATCACATCACATGCATGAGGCTTGATTATATGATTTGTGCAAAAGTATACGAAATGGTACCTTGAGGCCTAATCGTATGAACGAGACAGAACAATGCCGAAAATATTACACAGATTATACAAATGAAACGGTACAAATAAGAGAGATTGAGATAGATGGAGCAAGACACACTGCAAACGGAAAAGTACAATACAAATGGACAAAAAATAATCAATTCTGGAATTGATTCCTGGTGCCCGATTTGTGAAGGTTCCACTCATACTCTATCACAAAACTTATTCTCAATTTCACTTAAAGTGACCTCTATATTGACTATCAACAGCACACCAAGACCCCACTGGAACGTCGGATAGGCTAATTGGCCTGATTTTTCGGCT